TTAGCTCTCCCTGGGCACAGTTCCCTTGGTGTGTTGGGGTGGTTTTAGCTCTCCCTGGGCACAGTTCCCTTGGTGTGTTGGGGTGGTTTTAGCTCTCCCTGGGCACAGTTCCCTGCTGATTAACCCCCTGTGCTCTTCCCCCCCCTCTCAGTACTGCTGCCCCGAGATGGTGGAGTTCCTGAAGAAGAGGAAATCCCTGGATTCAGAGCCCCCCCTGCAGTCCCCCAAACCCCCGTCCCCGGAGAAACCCCCGGCAGGAGCCCCCCCTGCCCCGTGCCCGGCGGTGCCAGCCCTGTCCCCCTGTGCCAAGGGCCCTGAGGGGGGTGAAGGGGGCCCAGACTCTGCCCAGAGCAAGCTCATCATGCTGGTGGATGATTTCTACTACGGCCGGGACGGGGGCAAGGGTGCCCAGCTGCTGCCCTTCCCCAAGGTGCCCACGTCCTTCCGCTGCCCACACTGCACCAAGAGGCTCAAGAACAACATCAGGTGAGCAAAAGGGGCACAAGGGGGGTGCACAGGGCCTGGGCAGCCACGGGTTGGAGGGTTAGAGTGGAGCTGGGAGCTGGGAGCAGCAGTGGTGCTGCAGAGTTGTGGGGTGGGAATAGAAACCAGCCCCAGTTTGGAGAGTTAGGGTTGAACTGGGAGCACCAGTGGTGCTGCAGAGTTATGGGGTGGGAATAGAAACCAGCCCGAACAGCCCCAATTCCCAGGGTTAGGAATGGCCTGCAGAGTTATGGGGTGGGAATATATAGAAAAACCAGCCTGGGCAGCCCCAGTTTGGAGGGTTAGAGTTGAACTGGGAGCACCAGTGGTCCTACAGAGTTACAGTGGGAATATATAGAAAAACCAGCCTGAACACCCCAGTTTGGAGGGTTAGAGTTGAACTGGGAGCACCAGTGGTCCTACAGAGTTACAGTGGGTAAAATCCAGCCTGGACAGCCCCAGTTTGGAGGGTTGGAGTTGAACTGGGAGCACCAGTGGTGCTGCAGAGTTACAGTGGGTAAAAAGCAGCCTGAACACCCCAGTTTGGAGGGTTAGAGTTGATCTGGGAGCACCAGTGGTGCTGCAGAGCTTTGGGGTGTGAATAAAAACCANCCTGAGCAGCCCCATTTTCCGGGTCAGTCTCTTTTGCTCGTGGCTGGATGACCAGAAATAATAATTCCTGAAGGACAGTAATTCTCCCTCTCATCTTTCTGCGTCCATTTTTCACCAGAAAGGGGAAATATTTTGCTGAAATGGCGTTTTCTGGGCGAGCCACTCTTTGGTCCCACCGTGCTGAGCTGTGTTTTGCCAGCAAGGAGACCCCAAATCGGGGTCAAGAAGGGCTCAGACCGAGGGTTCTGGGGTCAGAGGTGCAGAACATGTGGATTTGTGTCCCTCCCTCTTGCAGGTTCATGAACCACATGAAGCACCACGTGGAGCTGGACCAGCAGAACGGCGAGGTGGACGTGCACACCATCTGCCAGCACTGCTACAGGCAGTTCTCCACCCCCTTCCAGCTCCAGTGCCACCTGGAGAACGTCCACAGCCCCTACGAGTCCACCAGTGAGCCTTTGCAACCTTAAACTGGGGGTTTGGTCTGGTGGTAAATCACAAACCTTGCAGGAAACCCCCCAAAAAACTTGGGGCTTGTCTTTAAAGCCGACAAGTAGAACCAGTTCTTAGGGTGGCCCAGGTGAGAACATCCCTCGGTGATGGGCTCAGTTTTACTCCATTTTAATGCAGGGAATTGTTCTGTTTTGCTGGAAAAAAAAAAAAACCCAAACCCTCTCCAGATGCTGCTGGTTTTGCTCTCCCCTGACTCAAAACATCAGCAGGTGAAGTGGAGCCACAGGAGTGTCACAAAGTCAAAACCCACTTCAGTTTGGGGCAGAAAGTCACTCTTTAATTTCCTGCTCCGTTTAATCATTGGATAATTGAAAATCATTTGAGCCTTGGTTTTGTGGTTTGCCAGTTCTGCTCAGAATATTGAAATTTCCTTTTAATTTTTAATTTTATCTTAAGGAAGTCTTAGAGATGTTCCCACGCAGTCTTTCACACCAGTCCTGGTATTCCCAAATCCAACGGATCCCAAAGAAGGATTTATCCCCTTTTTCCACAGGAGAACACTGATAATAAATCTGACCAAAAAACCTGAAATTTGGCTTTTTTTCCCCCAGTTTTGACCTGCTTTTCCCTCTTCTTTTTGCAGCCAAGTGCAAGATCTGTGAGTGGGCCTTCGAGAGCGAGCCCATGTTCCTGCAGCACATGAAGGACACCCACAAGCCTGGGGAGATGCCCTACGTGTGCCAGGTGGGAAAAAGGGATTTGGGGGCTGGATTTCACTCTCACATAGCAGAGAAAAAGAGGAAATCTGGGATTTTCCATCCCAATTAGGGGTCCTGGGGAGCCCAGTTGTGTCTTTTTTCCCCAGGCATGGAGAGCTCCATGAATTAAAAACAAGGGAAGAAACTTCCAAACCAAGTTGTGTTCAACCAGATTTTGCTCCAAATTCTGCCTTAATGAATCCCATTAATGAATCCCATTAATGAATCCCATTAATGAATCTCATTAATGAATCCCGTTAATGAATTCTCCTTAATGAATTCCA